GTTTCACAAGATCATGGTCTGGGTACAGAGTGATCACAGAGGGGGTACAGTTACGTCAACAGGTACATTTTTCCTGAAACCTCAAGGGGGGGTATCAAGGCGGGAGTGGAGTTTACACACAGGTCACAGTGGTCCTTCCTGGAACACCTGCAACTATCCCAGTCACAGCTGAGCACATCTCTTAACAGAAATCTTTTTACATTGTTATATGGTTGCAGGGGAGATTGAACAATGGCTAAGTCAGGTTGCTCTTGGAACTAGATTTTTAGTTTCTCATTTCCTGGTGTTTGAAGTTTCTCTTTTCCTAAGGCTTGGGGGTGTAAGCCTGAAGGGCTAGGGTCTTTCAGTCCTTTCTGTGTGAAAGTTTCTCAGTTTTCTGAGGTCCCATTTATTAGTCGTTGATCTTAGTGCCTGTGCTAACCCCAGCTGATTTTTAAATTTTATTTTTTTGAGGCAGGGTCTCACTATATAGACTAGGCTGTCTTTGAACTCACAGAGATCCGCCGGTCTCTGTCTGTCGAGTGCTGCGATTAAAGGCGATCTCAACCACGCTCTGCCTTGGGTTTTCTGGGGGCAGCTGAAGTCCATCATCCCCTCATATGTGCAAGCCTGGCCGTGGCCTTTTCCTTCCCCTGTCCCAGTGGGCTCTGGGACAGGGAGCTTCGCCCATACACGCGCATTTCCCTGACCGACCCCCAGAGGGCGCCGCTGTCCCACTCTGCATCCGTCTCCCTCCCTCCTCGACACAGGGGTGGGGGTGGGGGGTGTTAGGCTTAGGGAGGGAGCCAAGGCAGGAATCCCCTGGAGCCCAGTGCTTGGGTAAGCCTCGGTGAGACCAGAGACCTGATGGCTCCACATGATGCTCACCTGCGGCCCAGCAGCCGGGCAGAGGCAGGAGGGTGAGGAGTTCAAGGCTGCAGGACCCCGTCTCAAGCATGAGCAACTAAAATGTGTGCACACGCCTTTAATCCCAGCACTCAGGAGGCAGAGGCAGGCAGATCTCTGAATCAGAGGCCAGCCTGGGCTACAGAGTGATTCCCAGGACAGCCAGGGCTACATAGACCCTATGTCAAAAAAAAAAAAAAAAAAAAAAAAAAAACACCAAAAATCCTCATAACAAATAAATAAAATGTGTTATCTACAGTATTATACTGACGTATATTTCATGGCTATGATATCTATCCTAAGTATATTACATGTATAATGTGTATTATATGTGTATGTGTTATGTATTGTATGTATGATGTATATAATATATATATAACTAATGAGTAATATATGCTACAAATGTAAAACCTACATTATATACATATGATATATAGTTCAAATTGCACACATGTATGCATGAATGTACATGTAATATCCAACATATTTACTAAATAACACACAACACATTATTATATGTATATAATACATAATATATTATATAGTTATATATGCATGAAGTAGTATGTAATATATGTCTATCGTATAGCACACACATAACATAAATGTTATGTTAGATGCCTACAATGCTTCTATAACGTATGTCACATGTATGCAATACATTTTACATTATATGTATGTAATGTATTGTACACATCATATTATTTTGTGTTATAGGTATATAACATAAATCATATATTAGCTATGTGGGATACATTATATGCCATATGTGTACAATATATTACATGATACATATGCAATACAAATGTGTTGTATGTTACATGTATGAGATATTGTATGTTACATGTGCTAGTGTGTCATATATTCTACACAAATGTGTCTGTATGATTCTCCCTTAGGGTAAAGGGATGCCCATTCTTCAGCACCTCCCAAGCTCTCATGGTGCCTGGGTTCCACTCCCCAACACTTCCCAAGAAAAATAAAATCACAACTAAAAACACATGCACACATTGTGCCGTACCCTCCCTGATGGGCGTGTGCTCCTGCAGGGACCCTGGCGGTGTTGGAATTCCTTTGTGGTGGTCGTAGGTCAGGTGGGGCCAGGGTCGTCTACCAGGCGGAAGCTGGGCATGCTGCCTAGCCTGGTTGGTTTTGCTGGGTTTTTTTTTGTTGTTATTTTGTTTTATTTTGTTTTGTTTTTGTCAGCTCAGCACAAGCCACAGTCATCTGGGAAGAGGAACCCCGGTGGAGAAGATTCCACCGTAAGACCCACCTGGGCAAGCTTGCGGGGTGTTTTCTTTCTTAAAAACGTTTTGATTGAAATCTAGTTATATCACTTTCCCTTCCTTTCCTCCCTCCAGCCCTTCCCAGGTGCCCGTCCCGAATCCCTGTGACTCCCCAACTCCCAAGGTGTGTGTGTGTGTGTGTGTGTGTGTGTGTGTGAACGCTTATATAAATACAACCTGCTGAGGCTGTTTTTGTTGTCTGTGTGTATGGGTCCAGAGCCGACCACTCTGCACTGAACAACCAATGAGGGTCTCATGCCTGGGAGAGGCTAATTCTCCCCTCCCGGCTGTCATCAGTGCCTGCAGTTCTTCGTCTAGGGTGGACCCTGTGAGATCTTCTCCCTCCCAGATTGGATGTCCACTGATATTGTCGCCGTCTTGTTTATACAGCCTTTCCTAGGGAGACCGCTTCTCGGCGGAC